GTCATGATCTTATGACTTGGATTGTGAATATCACAACTTAATCAGGATTGATCGAATCAATTCAGTATATCGTCATTTTAATATTTAGAAATTTTTTTAAAAATCATCTATATTAATATATATTTTAAAAAATTATCATTTATTTTATGATATAATAGTAATAGTTATATCTAAAATATTTAAATTAAAAATCATCTATATTAATATATATTTTAAAAAATTATCTTATAACCTCAATTTTAAAAGTATTTTTAACCAAACATATTAAATTATTTTTTTCAACTTTAATTTTAACTACAGTTTTAACCAAATATCTATTTTTTAAAATCAATCTTAACTAAAAATATTTTCTATAAAACAACTTTTTTTAAATTATAAATATAATAGTTACTGCAATGCCAAGTACATAATATTTTCTATAAAACAACTTTTTTTAAACTATAAATATAATAGTTACTGCAATACCAAGTACATTTTTATTTTTAATGATAAGAGTACTTATTGTGCATGGATACTAAGATTTATATCTAAAGTAAATGCTTATGTTTATAAATGCTCATGTTTATTGTTGAAGATAAAAGGTTTTTAGAATTTAAGATAGCAATTTGGGATCCTAATCCTTAATCCTCACTTTTAGAATACCCGTGAAAGATCTAGAAAATCAATAAATAATATATTAGGTTTTGGCATTTTTTTTGGTTATATAATTATAATTTAATATTTTTCTAAAAAAATATTGACTTCACGAGGATAACTTTTTCAAAGACTTAATTATAATCATGTTAATTTTTTGATAAAAATAAAATTTTAATTTTTTTTAAAAACCGTAAAATTTCAAATTCTCATGAACATAACCCTTTTAATCATTACACCGCCAATACGTTAACCCTTCAATTAAAAAGAACACAAAAACTCATTTACACATTTTTTAGTTAAAACATGGTTATGTTCATCGTTTCTTTACAAGAAAACTCAACTTTTCAGAGACAATATCTTTTAAGGATTATACTGTTCATGTATTGATTCTTCAGCAGGAATAAAATTTTATTTACACATATTTTTAGGGAAAACAAAATAAACTTTTTAAATGATAAGAATAAATTTCTCGGAGATCGAGAATCTTTTTAAAAATTATATCATCCCTGAATCCACAATGACCAATCAGCGTTACATAACAAAGCCTGTGTAACTGCCATTAAAATGCAAGTCTCGACCTTGCCCCACAAGCATGCCCATACTTGAAGGAATATCATTCACAAATATAATCTAACACAAAAATCATACACACATCCCAAATAAATCAAAACAAGATTAATAAAAAGATACAAGAAATCAAAACAAAATAAATAAATCAAATATGTCCATATTCTAAATCTATATAACTAGGAAAGAAAAATCTCAAGAAAACATGTTCTTATTATTTTTTATGATTTATGATTTTTTTTCTCTTTTTCTCTTTTTCCTTTAATTTAAGATCAATGAGTACGTAACAGGATGGTTCTTCCTGGTACTTGATCACCATGAAATTTATCATTAGTGGAAGGTATTTGAGAGAAGAGAAGGCCATGGAGATGATTATTATTGGCACTGCTGTAACATAGAGAAGCTCAAGAACTGAACAAAAAGAATGCTAAACACACACTCTCATGATTAACATTAAAAAATGGATTTCAATTTGGTCAATGACATTAATTATTTTGAACTTCTCTCTTTAAAATAAGGAAACTGACATCTCAAATTCGTACTTCCAAATACAAATCATCCTTCGGAGGAGACGACACCCTCTCTTTTCTTCTTGCATATGAAAGCAAACAAGAAGCATCTTTTTAACAGCGCCCACTTGAAGCACACCCACACCCCTTGTAATTAATTCGTTTTTTAAAATGACTTTTTTTCACTTTGATTTATAAAAAAAGGAAAAAATTCTATTGAAAAAGTAGAACATTAAACTAATAATAATAAAATTCCGCTAACTGTCACTCCCTAATGCAATCGTTTTCTCTATAAGATCCTCCAAGATCATATCCAGATCTTCCTCCTTTTCTTCTCTCTCTCTCTTTGTTTTTTTATTTTTTTATTTTTCAATTCTATAGAATTAGAATTTCTACTTTTGTTTTTATTTTTTTCTCTAAAACCCTGATTTCATTCAATTTAATTCGGTCAGCATGCACGGCTACAGTCGCCTCGGAAACGCCGGGGCCACCGGCCGCGCTGTCACAGCCACCCCCACGCCGTCTCCTCCTTCTTCACCTCGCCTCCGTCACAGCCGCAGCAGCGGAAAGAGCAATTCGTCTCCTGGCGGTGGTTTTTCGGGGGGCGGTGGCGGTGGCGGTGTCGGTGTCTGTCGGGGAGGAGGGGGGAAGCAGCATGTGGTGGAGAGGTTGATGTTTATGGTGGTAACGGTGGTTTTGAGGCGAAGAGGATTGTTGCTGTTTGCGCCGTTGCTATATGTTGCAGGGATGGTTTTGTATATGGGTTCTTTGAATTTTGATGTTAATTTGAAAAATGGCGGTGTTGTTGTACGGAAACGTGCGCCTCCTGGTACGGTGTACCGGAGTCCTAAGGTTTTTGACAAGCTTTGGCCGTATATGGAGGCTGAGAGCAATGGCACTCACAATGCGGTAGCGTTTCTTCCCTTTTCTTTTCTCTTATTTTCTGATATTTATAGCTCTTGCTGTTTAGTAAAAGCTTGACGGCGATGAATGGAAGTGTGTTCTTAGGTTTGAGTTTTGGTTTAAGGTTAAGCAGTCTTTACACAGAGTGTAGATGATGGAGTGATGTGTCTTATCTGTTAAGTTTAATTGCTATGTTTTGCCATACGAAAGGAAGGAGGCATGTAGGGAGATGCTGCCTTAAAATCAAAGTAGGGTTTTTGAAATCAAGGAATGTGACTTGAGGGCATTGTGATCATACAATACTTGCTAAGCAGCAAGGTAAATTTCTTAAAGCTATAATTAGGCTAGGTATGCAATGTGACAGTGAGTGCTGGTCTGTGAAGAAACATGTCCAGAAGATAGGATTGTTAAGATAAGAAAGGACATGATAAAAAGAGAGCGCATGAAGAAGAGGTGGAGGTGACTACTGATTGGATAAGATGAGAGGTACTTGGAGATGGCTTTGCCCCCATTGCAATATGGCTCTATGGGGGCGCACCGGTGTGAAGAGGTGCTTGGATCCAAATCGTAGGAGCGAAGATGAGTTAAAGGAGAGGCAGAAAAGGGACGTGAGATGAAACGAAGGGGTACTTGGATCCAAATAGAAGGAGTAAAGAAGAGTTAAAGGAGAGGCAGAAAAGGGACGTGAGATGAAATGGTAAGAGATGATTTTGTATTAGCAACTCATAGAAAGATTTTCCAGCTAAGCCATCGTTGGATGGGATTGGGTTGTGTGGGAACATGTGAACATTTTTTTCTTGTTAAGTGCCATTACAGGTGCAACACTACTCCTTACCTTGCTACTCTAGGAGGTGAGTTTTTCTACAGAGCGGCTACTTGAAATAAAAATCTTGAATGGTATGAAGGTTGCCTTGGATACAAATAATGAAAAGGGGGCACGCTCCTTTGGCACCTGTCTTCATAAAGTTTGGTCTTAGTGATAAGAAGAAATAAACAGTTTGACATATGTTTGATATATTTAACAACAACCGCCATTCCAATTATAGCGTCTACTGCAATGTTTTGCGGATAGATATTTATAAGAGCTGCATTTTTTCTGCCTTTTCGACTTCATCTCTATGCAGTGTGTAATTTTTGTTGAAATATAACATTTTGTTGTTCCTTTTCTTTTGCTTTTCATCTTTTCTTCCCCTTGAGATGATTCCCCATGCTGTGTTCAACTGACAAATAATAGATCATGCAGTTGATGACAGCATGGGATCCAAAACTGCATCAAGCTTGGAAGCCCAGTGGCATCAGCAATTACTCTGATGCAGGTAGGATTCCCATATGACATTTATCTGCCAGCCTTACAATGAATTTTTTTATTTGATTGCTAGGAAAAGATATCTCAATATGGTAAGCAAAAATATCAAAACTCAGCTGGTGGGTTTTATAGCCCATCGAGATCTGCAAATAGCTATGTTTGCTTGTATGTAGTGCCTAAATTTGGTGCTTGAGCTATCTTTTTGGAGTTCCATTGTGGATAGCCATGTGGTCTCATGTTGGTCATGTATCTTATAATCCAGACAATTTGTATGGTTTTGTTATTTTTTGGACAAGCAACATTAATGCACTAATGGAGTGATAAACTTACTCATTACATATGGTGGTAACACAGGGTTCACTTGCTTGATGCTGGGAAAACATGTTTATTTGTCATTATTGATGTAGCTCTCCTTTCAGATATTAGTATCTCTTATGGTATTAACCATTCTTTTTTGCTTGCTAAAGCATGGAGAGACACTAACTGCTTTCTTGTGCTTTAATGGTTTTTAGAATTGCCAGAGTCTAATGGTTTCCTTATAATTGAAGCGAATGGTGGTTTGAATCAACAACGCTTATCGGTATGTTTTGTCTTTTAAAATGAAGATGACTTCATCCTTTGCTTTTAATCATTAAAAGGATGCATCTGAATGGGCTCTTGGTCTATTTATTGTCAAATCATGTCTTATAATTCGTGTCATTCACTTTATTTCTTTTATAAAAAAAATCTTTTTAATGCATACAGATATGCGATGCAGTTGCTGTGGCAGGATTGCTGAATGCTACTTTGGTCATTCCATTTTTTCATCTAAATAGTGTTTGGAGAGATTCCAGGTAATTACTGTTATTCCATGTTATTAATGTTATTATGCATGACCATCCCATCTTACTGAACAGTTTGCTTTATGATAGGTCATAAGTTTTCCTTGTTGGCTTCAAATATGTCTCTACCTTGGCCAACAACGAGTGCATTTAGAATATAATAAAGTTCTATCTTAGGAATTTTAAGTTGTAAAAGCTTTCTCTTACAACCAATTGTTTGTTCAGTTTTGCAATGGAAAAAAATATGCTGGAGCCAAGGCAAAGATCACAACTTTCACTTCCTTTTCTCCCAGTTTCCTGACAGCTGTCAAGAACCTTTGGATCAAATGACACCTTTCTGCTTGTTTAAAGCAATCCTTGCATGGTGCATGATTATGTTCAACACTATAAGAAAACACAGCTTCCAAGCGTTCTGAGAAGTGATGGCTTTATCTTTTTTCCTCCACCCTCATTCTGGTCATCTTGACTTTTCTTCACGCTTGACTAATGTCACATTTGCTGTCACCAAATGCCAGCTCTTCTTTTTGAACACACAATTGAGGATTTTCTGCATGTTTGTTGTGTATCAGTTAGTATAATGGTAATACAACCATATATCTTTTATACTAGAACATAAACAAAATAAAACTTGATACAATATGGTTCTGTTACATAAATATGTCACAACACATCACCAAACAACATTTGTGTAACTCGTTTCTTGTTTTATTAAATAATAGGAATTTGTCCAATTTCTTTTCTTGGTGAAGTTATTATTTTTCCTTGCAAATATTTCACTATTTTCTATAATCAGGTGTGTGAGAATTCATGCCAATACAGTTCTTGTTATCATGATTTTTTTTCTCCTTTTTTATTTTCAACGACAGTAAATTTGGAGAAATATTTGATGAGGATTTCTTCATACATGCACTTAAGAATAATGTGAAAGTAGTTCGAGAGCTCCCAAGTGATGTGCTTGAGCAGTTTGATAATAACATAAGCAGCATAGTAAACTTAAGGGTAAAAGCTTGGTCCAGCCCGACCTACTATCTTCAGAAGGTTCTTCCAAAGCTGAGGCGGATGAGGTATGCAGTTTTACTTTTTCTTAATTATTGTTGTTGACATTGTCACTGGGAACTGTTTCCCAAAGCTCCAAGGAAACAAAGAAATTACAAGTTTGATTTTAAATGATATGTGGACCTCAACTGAATAGCTGTGTTTGCTTATCATTCTTATACACAATCACCTCTGACATTTAGGTAGAGGACATGGCTGGGGATGGTGTGATTCTGTAGTTTATGAGTTCTCCATGTGTCCCACCTGTTTGTTTCTTTTATAGCTGGTCCTTGTTTGTCTTAAAAGTGCACAACAGTAGTGTTTTATATTTTTGTGAAAAATGGGAATAATGAAAGAAAAAAAATATGATGAGTGCTTGCCTTGTTTATTCTACAGCACATGCATATGTTGATAAGTGGGACAACATTCATTTAAATAAATATAACTTGTTTCTCCAAAACCTTCATGAATAATCCTTAGTTACTAACGATGATTGGGAACAAAACATCCATTTTCCTATACCTTCTCAGTTCTCATCTGTCAATATAGAGAAGGTAAGAATAAAAGAAATCCTATATGACTTTTAGCTTGATAAGCTAAATACAAATCAAGTACCACCACTGAAAAGAGTCACAAGGTCAGGTACTTCAAGTTGGGTGTTTTGTGATTGGGCTGAAGGAAAGTATTCATACAATTGTGGAAGCTTGTGGACTTTCAGATCTCTCGATAGATAAAGGTTTCAAGATGATATGATCTTGAGAGTAACATCATGGTGTGATTTGGGACATGAAGATTTGGAGAAAGGAAAGGAGAGAAAGGAATAAACAAAGGGGAGAGAAAGGAAGGAAGAAGAGGAAGAGGGAGCTGGGAAGAAGAAGAGAAGGAGCAGGAGAAGAGAGGGAAAAGAAAAGGAGGAGGAAATCCACAGATTTTTCTTAATTCATTATAAACTATCTGTAATGTAAAAAGAGTACATATAAATAGTAAAACCTTACACAACTAGAAATTGAGCTTATAGCTCACCAAATAAAATGTCCAACAATAACATAAATCAAGCCCAATAATAAAACCAAATGAAATCTAATAACACAAGCTTAAGCCCAATCTCCCAATCAAAGAGTGACGGGCTTAGCTATCCTATGTTGTCTTTGACGATACACATGTGAAATGCATCTCAAGTTTGGTGTCCCACCATCATGTACTACTTCTATCACACTATCACAGGCAAGAAGGTTCCATAACTAGTGAAGGATAGAATCAAGGTAATTTTTATTTGTTAGGAAAGCTATTATTATAGAATTGAAGGAGTGAAGGGATGATACCTTTATTTTTGTTTCAACTTCAAGGACGAGCTTGAAGCAAGTCAGAAGTGTTGAAAGCTATTTTTATCATGGGAAGAGGGTAGCTGGACAGATGATTAAGAATATGGTATAGATGAAGGTAAAGACCATGGTTCATTCAATCCCATTTGGTGCATCTTGAGTAGATTGGGGTCCCATGACTTGTTTTTCTTATTCTTGCCATTCCTTGTGTTGATAGATGAGAAGATAAAAAAAAAAGGGTTTTGTGGTTAACCAGTGATTTGTTTTAAGGGAATCTAACCTCCACTAGTACCTAAAAGTTACTCTTAAAGCTTTTGGGGAAACCAAGGACATATTTTATTCATGTTAAGACTCTTTTGATTAGAATAATGTTAAATAGGAAATTTAAGCAACTATACATGCTCACAGTATATTACAAGATATAACTGTCCATGACTCGTGTGCCTTTGTCTATGCAATTGCAAGTTCTCTTAGGCTGAAAAGGCACCAGCTTGATGTTTTTTGGGTGACTTTTACACGGTGTGCTCTGATTGTCTCAGTAAACATTGGAAAGCACATAAAAAACGATCAAATAGGTGTTTTCAGCCCAAACTAATATGCAAAAGCATCTTTGCTGTGACAATTAACACATTTGAACATGTGGAGAACACATTCAAAGTTAATGTTGACATAATCAGTTATACTTGTTCTGTATTGCAAATGGACACTTCTGATTACCCGCTTCTTGATACATAAATGTCATGTAGAACACATGGCAAACACCCTTAACAGAAAAACTTTCCTTCTAACATGTAAAAGAAAAGGAATAGGTGCTTTAAATGAAATTGCAGATGATTTGTACTAAATAACTCTTAGACATAAAAGATGTTGTTTTGGACCACGTGTGCCAATCCAACATGGTATTTACATGTACACACAACCGAACACTAGTAAACACACTTGTTTTAAAAGAGAAAAAAACAAATAAGGCACAAGCATTGCCCGTATGCACTAATCAAAGCCGACTCGCAGTCAGACCAGATAGCTTTCAAGTTTTTGCAGTTTGATGCTATTCTTTATAATGTGTGCAGTCAATTTCATGAACGTAAGATATATTCGTGGGCAGTAGTATGATAGTAGTTTTCTTATTCTATGATGCAGGGCAGTACGTATTGCACCTTTCTCCAACAGGTTGGCACATGCAGTTCCTCCAAATATCCAGGGTCTTAGATGCTTAGCCAATTTTGAAGCCCTCAGGTTTTCAGAATCCATAAGAATGCTTGCAGAGCAGATGGTTGATCGGATGATCAAGAATAGTTCTCAAAGTGGGGGAAAATATGTCTCGGTGCATCTGCGGTTTGAAACGGTGCCATTCTCATTTCCTTATGTTTTAAGGATGTATTGTTGTTGGTTTTCTAGCTATATCCTATGTTTTTCTAAGTTTCAATATTTTTATGAAAGGATATGGTTGCATTTTCATGCTGTGAGTATGATGGTGGGGAAGAAGAGAAACGAGAGATGGATATTGCACGAGAAAGTGCTTGGAGAGGAAAGTTTAGGAGAAGGGGTAGAGTAATAAGGCCAGGAGCAAATCGTGTGGATGGAAAATGCCCTTTAACTCCATTGGAGGTATTCGACTAACTTAATCCCTTTATTGTTGTGAGACCCATCCAATAGACTTTAGTCACTATTTTTTTAAAGCAAATTTCAAATTTGTGAAAATATATAATGATGCATTTTGTGTGATATTCTAGAAATATACCATTTTACAGAATGTCCATCTGATTAGCAAATCAAGTTAGCACATATAGATTCTGCCTTCTTGCCTGAAAATCTATGCCCTTACGCTGACACTGAAAGTTTTAACTCTCCAAGCACACAAGAACAAGGAGTGGCCATTGGGGGCTGTGACTAGTGCCTATTCAATGAACATGTAGGATTCCTCTTTCCTGTCTGAATTTGTAAAAATTGTCTGATGGTGCAGTTTACGTGATGTTATAGAAATCAATTTTATTGGTTTCCATCTGATTTGTTAATTTAATGAGCATGAACAGACCTGAAAGCGTATGCCCTTTCTCTTAACATTGCAAGCTAAAACTTTTCTATGACACAAGAAAAGGGGGGAAATTGGGGGGCTGTCACTAGCGTGGCTCTTTAATGAACAGGGTCAAGGAGGATTCCTGATGCTATAAAGGGCAGTCATTTTGTTCAGATTCATGCATTATCAATCATTTTTTTCCTTGAAATGAATTTTGGAAGTGCATCTTATATGCTTATTTGTTAACTTTGAAGTATAAATTCCTTTGCTGTTTTCTATTAATCATGTAATTTGAAATTTATTCTCTTACATATCCATCTAGTTCAAACAAAGCTGTAATTTGTGATTTAAGTTCTTAAAAGACTTACTAATTAACATGGATCACCTTGCTTGCTATTGAAGGTAGGGATGATGCTTAGGGGAATGGGTTTTGATAATACCACCTCAGTATATGTCGCAGCAGGTAATATTTATAAAGCAGAGAAGTATATGGCTCCACTTAAACAGATGTTTCCACGTTTAGAAACAAAGGACACATTAGCTACCGCTGAAGAACTTGTGCCATTTAAGGTATCAAACTAGTTCTATATGCACTTGTAGACTGTAATTTTCCCTACTATCATTGAGTCAACACCTACTGTGAACAGTAAAATAGAAATTGGTAAAAGACGTGAATAAATCAATCCTTGTAATACTGAAGTATGTGATGTAGGGCCACTCATCTAGGTTGGCTGCTCTTGACTACACGGTTTGCCTGCATAGTGAAGTCTTTGTCACAACACAAGGTGGGAACTTTCCACACTTCTTAATGGGTCACAGGCGCTATTTGTATGGAGGGCATGCCAAGACAATCAATCCTGACAAGAGAAAGTTAGCTCTCTTATTTGATAAACCCACTATCAGGTATGCAATTCAGTTTCTATTTCATTTCTGAACCTTATATGTAGCTCTTAATCTGTGCAACTCATATCCCCTGGTGAATGTTGGGTACACTAACGACAATGGCGTAACTGTGCTAGTTAGTCTGATATTTGTTTCATATTTAGCACTTATGTGGGGGCTTAAAGCTGCTGTTGTTGGTGAGAAAAAGATAGCAAAACTTGAGTAAAGACAGATTCAAATCATGATGTAATAGGAAGAGTGAGAAGTGGACAACAATTCCATACATTCTGGACTTTTATTCTGTCCCCATTCTGACAGAAACGCTTGCTGGATCTACCTTTCATAACTCAGACATAAAATTTGGCGTGCATTTAAAGATTCCTGATGACTTTTCTAATTGTTTTGCGAGTCAAATACAAAATTCTGTGATCTATTCTCGCACACATCTTTCAACAGCCCTCCATGTTTTGAGCATTATGTAGAAAGGGATTATTATCTATTTGTCTTATTTTTTTGCAGATGGGAGGTCTTCAAGCGACAGATGCAAAATATGCTTCGCCACAGTGATGTGAAGGGCTCTGAATTAAGAAAGCCCAGTGCATCTCTTTACACATTTCCTATGCCAGATTGCATGTGTAAACAAACTGAAGCTAGACAACAAGACAGTGACAGTTGATTTTAAGACTGGAATAGTAGATTACTCCTAGAATTACAGATTCCATATGCATGTAATTTTCTTTGTATCATCAAAATTAACAACCACAAAAAAAAAAACTCGTACAATTATAATTATTTCTTTCATTAGAATTGAGATGATAGGTTTATAGTTTTGATTTTTTGAGGTTCACTGTCTCGTTATAACTGAAATTGTCGGAAACCGCTCTAAATGATGTGTTTGAAACTGTACTAGAGTAGAATTTCCACGTATTCAATTACATTCTTCACTTTGAATTCTTCAATCTATATTATCTTCCCGTGTCTCTGTGTGTTGATTTCTTTTTTAGGTCGTACTGGATATTGGCTTCATCACTATTCACAGATGCAATCTGGAACATTTGTTGAGAACAGCACACTGAAGACAGTAAAAATCCTTTCTTTCTCATTGGGGCTGCCACAAGAAGGTAGGTAAATGAACATGCCCAGGGTTTTATCTCAATGCAAGCAAGTGATTGGGGTGGCATTTGTACAAGATACGTAGGGCTCTCGGCACCTTCAACTTTAAGATAATAAGGTGGGACTTCATGTTTTGTTTGTCATGGAATCTCGAAATCTCAAAATCATGGAAAAATATCATATTTGATTCGCATTTAGAAATCCCAGGTGCTGATTCATAAATATTATTATGTTAAAGCTGCATGTGGTCATTCGTAATGTTACTTTTCATCAAAAATCATTCTTTTGACAGTCTTAAGATCTTTATATTTGCTTTATAGTTTAAGATTCTCAGTGGAATGAGATTCACTCAGTGTGTGGAATTCCAGTTCATGCCGATTTTTTGAACAATTAGAAAAATTATATAACAGAATCGATTTTAATTATAAATTGAAGGGAAAATCACACGTCAAATCATGCTGTTTAATCATTATTTTTTCACTTAGGCTCCATAGTTTACATTTCAAATCAAGCTGTTTAACATCCTGGAGTTCGTAGCACCCATCTTTACTCTATCATGCCAAAAAAATCAACGAAGAAGATCAAATTATTTAAAAGATTACAATTATATTTTAATTAATGAATAAAAAGCTATTATATTAAATATTATAATTTTATCATCAAATTAAAAAAAACCTAGCCGCCATCCACACCTTTTCCTCCTCTCTTTTCTCGTCTCATCCTTTTCTCCATTTTTTTTTTAATCTCTTGAATTTTCTCGTCTCATCCTTTTCTCCATTTTTTTCCTCTCTTGAATGGCTTGGAGATATAATATGATTTCTTATTAAGCTTTCTATACCCGACAACCCATAACTTTTCTCTATTTATTAAAAGATAATACAAAGGAAGAATGCACACTGTCCCTCTCAAACACTTGAAGAGGTACACGTAGATATTAAAGATGTTGGAGACAATGGTAGTTGTTAAAAATACTTTTTATCTAAAAATATATAAAATAATATTTATTTATTTATTTTTAAAATTAACATATTAAATATATATATATATATATATATAATTCAAAATATTTTTAAAAATCTTTAGTCCAATTACACACGAGCATTTGGAAATATATGATAAATATATATTTTTTTTAAATTTAAATTTTTTATTAAAAATTAATTTTTTATATTTTGAGTTGTTTTAATACTTTAATTTTAAAAATAAAAAAATATTAAATTTAAAAATAAAAAATTTTGAATCGATATTTGAAATTTGAAGTTTAATTAGGTTTAGAATTTATATTAAAGATTTAAGATTTAGCTAAGTTTAGGGTTAGTGTTTGAAATTTGAATTTGAAATATACGATTAAAATTGTTTGTTAGTTTGTTTAAAATATTTTTGTAAAAATTTAAATTTAAATTTATTTTATTTTATAATTTTAAATAATTTTAATGTTTTGATATTAAAAATATTAAAAAAAAGAAGAGATCTTTTAGAAGATGACGTAGATATTATGAGTCCCCCCACGATTCCTCGAACCATCGAGCCTTGACAATCTCTCTCTCTTCACTGTAAGAGGACCCCACTTCATTTCTTTTAACAAACTCCATCTCCAAATTCCTCAAACAGAATCCCAGCTCAATTCCAAATCTTCGATGTTCCATTAACCAAACCCTAAAATATGAGCTCCACCACCACCACTTCCCCAACCATCAACAGCACCGCCATCAATTCGAATTCCAAGAACGGCAGAAATCAAGATCCAGGCTCCTACTTCATAGACGTAGCACGGCAATACTCATCACCAATTGGCGGAGAAACAGAGCTTGAACCAAAGGAGTTAAACACGGTGAACAGCTCTGGAGGGTTTCTTTTTGTATCGACTGATAAATTGAGTGTTAAATACCCAAGTGTGAATCTTCATGGTCATGACGTTGGTGTTATTCAAGCTGATAAACCGGTGCCGGATAAACGACTTGTTTATTATTTTGAGATTTTTGTAAAGAATGCTGGTGCTAAAGGACAGATTGCTATTGGTTTTACTAGTCAGGGTTTCAAGATGAGGAGACAACCTGGGCAAGGCTTTTCTTTCTTTCTTTCTTTCTTTTTTTAAGTAATTTGTTTCGTTATTTGTAATGTATAGTTAGCGAGAAATGCAATTAGGGTTTTTTTTCTGGCTCTTGAGAGAGTTTAGTTGCTAATCACGGGAGGTAATGGATTAGGTTTGTAAGATTTAACATTTTGGAGCGATTAAAAAGCTGGATATTAAGTATTTATTTATTAAACACTTTTGGTTCATGAGAAAATGTAAAAGAAGATAAAAATAAATACTTTTGGTTCATGAGAAAATTTAAAAGAAGGTAAAAAAAGAGGGTGTTTTATACTTTAAATGCTCTTTTGAAGGTATAATAGGCAGAAGTTCTTGATTGGAAATGTGGGTTTTTGTTCTTGTGCACTGTATGCAAGTTTGAATTGCAATGAGCTGTTAACTATAATAATGCTGCGATTCACAAGTTGTTTCTTTCAAATTTTTATTTGGTTGAGCAGATGGGAAACAAACAGCTGTGGATATCACGGGGATGATGGGCATCTTTATAGTGGGCATGGGAAGGGAGAGGAATTTGGCCCAACGTTCACGACCAATGATACCGTTGGTGCTGGTATCAACTATGCCTCACAGGAATTCTTTTTCACGTAAGGAAGTTGCTCACTTTCGTTAGTTTGTGTTGTTAATATCAAACTCCTGTTGCATGTGGACACTGAGTGATTAGTAAGTCTATTTTCTGAACTCTTCTTCTGTTACTATGCTACTCATTATCACATGTTCTCTTTGTGCTGATATCAGTAAAAATGGAGTGGTAGTTGGTGTACGGTACAAGGAGATAAAGGGCCCGTTGTTTCCTACTGTTGCTGTTCACAGCCAGAATGAGGAGTATGTGGCACCTCCCTCAACTAGTTGCAGTATTTAACTATTATTCTGAGACAGTTTGCTTGTCAATTCTTGTGCTAGATTTAAAATATGCAGATGTGGTAGACTAGCCTGTGGCTACTATGGCTTTTAGTTGAAGTTTTGCTACCAAGATCATAGAGATAAATTGTATTGCCATCTAGAAAATTTTGTCTCTACGGTGATTAAGGTTTTAGCTTATCCAAGGTTCTGATCACTCATATAATCCATTTTGGTCGCATGTTTTACAGCAAATGACCTGTGATTAATTATTTAGAATATGGAAAAACGAATTCAAACTATATTTTAATATTTTTCCTTTTCTTTTGCTAATTTTGCTAGTATCATCATGATGCTAGAGGATCTGATACCTTAAGTTGCTTCTTGACCTGGCAGGATTGAAGTCAACTTTGGACAGAGAGAATTTGCCTTTGATCTCAAGGCAAGATATCCATTCTTTTGATTCTTTCTTATGGACCTTCTTCTTTTTTTGGTTAAGTGGGTTTGCAAAAATCTTCTTCTCTGTGCAAGGTCATTGCTCGAGCTTTGGGAGGTCAAGTTGTTTTGTATGGAAGGAAATAAAGTTTAATGGACAACCTTCACTTTCCAAGAAGTGATATGATTCGATAGTCATAGATTTTTTTTCATTTTGGGTTTGCTTATATAATTCTCTTGGTGAATGGTTTCCTTATCACCTGGTTTAGTTGTCTGAAACTTTTTCTTTTTCTAAAACAGCATCTACAGATTTAACAAATTTACACAAGTTCTTGTTATTATTGATGCTTCCTTATGTTTTTCTTTGTATCCTTGCTTAGGAATATGAAAGACAAGAAGCTATGAAGCAAAAATCGACAGTTGACAAAATATCTTTACCGCCGAATATTAGTTATGGGTAAGTCTATGTTACATTTGAGTCTCTTTTATATAAATTAGTTTCTGCTTTGAGTCAGTGTAACTTGCAATATCCTCGTAATTGAAACTACATTTACCTATAATATGATGTCTGCACCTCAACAACGGAAGAGTTGGGTGGAAATTTATAGTAAAAATAAAGAATGGATCAAGGCAAGCTGTTCCATTTTTTTATCTCTTGTTTTCTTCAGCTCCTCTTTCTCTTCTTCCAATATTTAATCTTGTTCATCTGAAGTTTTTCACCTTGGGTTTTGTGATGGGGCAGGGTTGCAGTAGGTCTTGGTTTAAAATCTTATAAAACAACAAAAAAGAGGTTTTAGAAGGATGGAAAAGCCCTTTGGTGTATTTAGAAATAATAGTGAACTTACTAATTTAAATAACAGTACTTGATCTTGCAAGTCAGCTATCATTAATCATCATTACTTCTGTATACTTCAGTTAATATTAGTTTGTATTGCATGGGCAGACTTGTTCGCTCCTACTTATTACACTATGGCTATGAAGAGACACTCAATGCTTTTGATGTGGCCAGTAAAACTACTATCCCTCCCATATGTATAGCTCAAGAAAATGGTTCTGGTGAACAGGACATTGCATATGCTTTAACACACAGAAAAACTCTTCGACAGGTATGAAATTGTTGATGATGGGTGTTTATATTCAATTAATAGTTCATTGGCGGGCATCGAGTTTTAGGCATGGTGTATATGATAAATGTAAGTGGTGTTAAGTATGAGTAAGATGCTGGTAAATCCTTTGTTGTACAGAACATGTGTTTCTGTGTGTAATACTTGGAGTTTCCCGTCTTTTTTTGGTTAAAAGCTCATCAGCGTCTTTAGAGCTTCCCTTGGATTCGATGTATTGATATCTAGTGGTGATGGGGCTTATGAGGCCCTGAATGATGCATTCATTCTCATATCATTTTATGAGTTCACTGGGCGCCACTCGTTTTCTCAATGATTCTCTAATGTGCATCCCATCTTTGTTGCTCCACCCTTTTAAATTCTTTTAGGAATATATT